CCTGGGGGGCAGAGCGGCGCTCTTCCGGCTGGGCTGGGCTTCCGCAGCTGGCCCAGCACCCCAGCTCTGGCCACTTTCCCATGAATTGCAACCCCTGAGACACAGGGATTCCCCAGGGCGCTGGAGGCTCCGGACCCTTGAGCTTGGGGACCAGCGCCTCTCCCCCAAAACCATCCCAGCTGGTCAGACCCCTTCCTGGCCCTGGCCCTGTTCTCCCCAAGGTCAATGGCACCCTGCAATCCCCATGCTCTTGCATTTCCTCAGCTGGTCTATTGGGTGCTCCTGTGAGCCCAGACGTTTAAAAGGTTAAGGGTTCTAAGTCTGGAGCCAGGCTCAGACACCCTGGACCTGGGGCCAGGGCGGCCCCTTCTGAACCCCAGGAGCCTTATCTTGGAGCCAGTAATCACAGCACCCACAGTATCCAGTCCCAGGGTGGTTGTTGAAGATGAAAGAAAAAATGGACGGGGGTGGGTGGGGCGCCCAGCCTTGTAGTGTAGCAGGTTAACCCGCCGCCTGCAATGCCAGCAAACCAGATGAGCGCGCTGGTTTGAGTCCCGGCTGCTCCGCTTCCAATCCAGCTCCCTGCTAATGGCCTGGGAAAGCAGCCGAGGATGGCCCAGGTGCTTGGGCCCCTGCACCCACGTGGGAGACCTGGATGGAGCTCCAGGCTCCCAGCTTTGGCCTGATCCAGCCACAGCTGTTGTTGCCATTTGAGAAATTAACCAGATCTCTCTCTCTCTCTTTAACTCTGCCTTTCAAATCAATAAATTAAAAAAGGGGAAATGGGGAACAAAGCTGGGGCATACAGTGGGAGCTCTTTCAATGTTAGCCCAGATAACCATTGGTCGCCACTGTATTCCTGCCAGGGGATTAGAAGGGGTCTCGCAGCTCAGACACAACCGCCACCCTGCCCCCGCCACCTCTCACCACCGATGGCCTTTAGGATCTCGCTGTCTTGTGGCAGCTCCCAGCCTGGAGCGTGCCTGGGCTAGCACACCTGCTGGGCTGGTTCTGCTGCCAGGGCCCTCGCCCACAGGGGCCGCCCCACCCGGTCTGCACCCACTCAGGCTGAGTGACATCTGTGTCTTGCAGAGGGAAAAAAATGCGTCCCAAGGCTGCCGCAGATCCCTGTGCCTCCTCAGCCGCGCTCCCCCCCCCCAGCCCCGCACAGCACCGGGACTTGAATTTGGCTGCTGTGCACGGACCGCATCCCCATGGACACAGACTGGAGCCCTGGAGCTCCAGGGTGGCTCAGATTGGAGGCCTGAGGGCCAGCGCCAGCTCATGGCCACAGGGTCCGCGTGTCCGGCTCAGTGAGATATCGCCCTTACACAGATCTCTACGCTGGGCAGACACACTGACACATAGGTACATTTGTTTCTCATTGGGGTATAGATAAACAAGGCAGAAAATCGCGGGCAGGCATTTAGCTTAAGGGGCTGAGACACCTGCATCCCACAGCAGAGCGCCTGGGTTTGATACCAGGCTCTGGGCTCCCAATTCCAGCTTCCTGCTCATGCAGACCCTGGGAGGCAGCGGGAGACGGCTCCAGTCATTGAGTTCCTGCCACTGACCATGCATAGGACCCCTGGATGGAGCTCCTGGCTCCCAACTCTGTCTGCCCAGCCCCCTGGCCATTGCAGGCATTTGGGGGAGTGAACCAGTGAAGGGAGCGCTTGCTTTCTCTCTCTCCCTCTCTCTCTCTTCCTCTCTCCCTGCCTCAGTCTCTCACATAAGTAAATAAAGAAAAATTGCAAATAATTATTGAAAGACACTCTAGGGCTGAACAAGCCGTCTGTGTGCCGTACGTATTAACCCGCTAGTTAATTCCTCTAATGTTATCGGTACAAACTCATGTTTCTTTGAATAGATAAGAAAATAAATCAGATACGAGTGTCAACATGGGTTAGTCCACACACACACACACACACACACACATACACTCCGAATATGGTGCCTCTCCTGCGAAACCCTATGTTGGGATTGACTCCCCATGGTGAGACAAGAGCAGGGGAACAGACGGTTAGGCTCTGTCCTGAATGGATTCATGGATTCGTGTGATGAATGGATTAAGGGGTTCAAGGTCATCTCCAGAGTGGGTCTGCTATGAAGGCAAGTTCGTCGGGTCTCTCCCGCGCTCCCTGTCTCCTGCATCACCTCAAGTCTCTGCCAACAAGAGCGTAGGGGTAGGTAGGCACCCCGCAGTGATTAGACGCCTGCATCCCGTACCGGGGTGTCTGGGTTCGAGTCCAGGCTCCGTCCCTGACCCCAGCTCCCTGTGGAGGCGCACCCTGGAAGTAGCAGACGATGGCTCAAGTCTTTGGGTTTCTGCCACCCACGTGGGAGACCTGTGTTGTCTCCCTGCCTCCTGGCTTCAGCCCGGATCCAGTCCTGGCCATTGCGGGCGTTTGGGGACTGAACCAGAGGAGGACGGCCCCCGCCCCTCACTCTCTCAAATAAGTCAATAAAATATTTGAAAGATAATTGTTTAATTTCTTTGAAGGTAAAACTAGAGAGAGAGAGAGAGAGAGAGAGAGAGAGAAAGTGCTCTTCCACCTGCTGGTTCACTCCCCCAAGTGGTTGCAATGATTCAGGTTGGACCAGGATGAAGCCAGGAGCCAGGAACTCCCACATGGGTCTCCCACATGGGTGCAGGGGTCCAAGGACTTGGTGCATCTCACAGCTTTCCCAGGCGCATTAGCAGGGAGACGGATGGGAAGTGGAGCAGCCTGGACTCGAACCAGCGCCCGTATGATGGGATGTTAGCAATGCGGAGTGGGTCCCCCACCCCCTCACCTGGCCCCAGCCGCCTTTCCTGAGTTTCCTACCACTGGAGGCAAAAACCATGCGACCCTGGGCGGTGGGCTTCCCCGGCTTGGCTCAGCTTTGTGCGGTTTGTCCACACCGCCATGGACATCCACGCTGCCTCTCTCTTTGGGGCTAAAAAGCACTCGGTTGCAACACCGTGCATTTTATTAGACTCTGCGAGGCTGTGTGACGGCGGAGGGGAGGAAAGGAACTATGTCAGGGACTGGGACTGGGCAGGGCTCCGGCACAGCCGCGCCGCCCTCCTGTCATCGCCCCCCACTACCCCCCCCCCGCCCGGTGACTTCACCCTCCCACGAGTGGCTTCAATTGCAGCACAGGTTAAACGCAGGCCAAAGAAGGGAGATGGCTCCGAGCCCTGTGCAGGTGTGTCTGGGGCCACGCCCTGCGGGGGCAGAGGAGGAGCCCCCCCCAGGCAGCCCCGCCAGGTGCCCCCCCACGCCTCTCCTCTCCCAGGCCCTGAGTCAGCATCCCCCCCCTTCTTGTCCCCTCACACTTAGACATTCACTTCACAGGCTAGGCGGGAGGGAGGCTGGGAGGCCGCTGTGTGTTCAAGAAATTGAGATCAGTTCAGTCGGGCATGAGCTTGCTTGCTTCAGGGTGAGCAAGGAGTAGAGAGGGAGGTGAGGCTGAGAGGAGGTGAGACTGGGAGTAGGGCAAAAATCAGGTCTAGGCCGGCACCACGGCTCACTAGGCTAATCCTCTGCCTGCGGCGCCGGCACCCAGGGTTCTAGTCCCGGTCGGGCTCCGGATTCTGTCCCGGTTGCCCCTCTTCCAGGCCAGTTCTCTGCTGTGGCCAGGGAGTGCAGTGGAGGATGGCCCAAGTGCTTGGGCCCTGCACCCCATGGGAGACCAGGAGAAGCACCTGGCTCCTGGCTTTGGATTGGCGCAGCGCTGGCCATAGCGGCCATTTGGGGGGTGAACCAACGGAAGGAAGACCTTTCTCTCTGTCTCTCACTGTTAACTCTGCCTGTTCCCCCCCCCCCCCAAAATCAGGTCTGAGTGGCTTCAAATGCAGTTCTCGGGTCTGGACACCTCCTTGCTGTGTGACTGCAGACAGCTTGCTTAACCTCTCTGGGCTAAACTTCCCCACCTGTAAAATGGAGACAAAAGTCTCTTTCTTACAGTGATTTTGTGTGCAGAAATGTGGTCATTGGTAAAAAAAATTTTTTTTATTTGAAAAAAGTTTTAGCATGTTGCTTGCTACATGTCATCAAGTACGATTTTTTTAATTTATTTTTTTGACAGGCAGAGTGGACAGTGAGAGAGACAGAGAGAAACGTCTTCCTTTTTGCCGTTGGTTCACCCTCCAATGGCCGCCGCAGCCGGTGTGTTGCGGCCAGCGCACCGCGCCGATCCGATGGCAGGAACCAGGTACTTATCCTGGTCTCCCATGGGGTGCAGGGCCCAAGCACTTGGGCCATCCTCCACTGCACTCCCTGGCCACAGCAGAGAGCTGGCCTGGAAGAGGAGCAACCGGGACAGAATCCGGCACCCCGACCAGAACTAGAACCCAGTGTGCCGGCACTGCAAGGCGGAGGATTAGCCTAGTGAGCCGCGGCACGGGCCATCAAGTACGATTTTTTAAAAAAGTGTATTTATTTGTTTGAGAGGTAGAGTTACAGAGAGAGAGAGAGCAAAGAGGTCTTCTATCTGCTGGTTCACTCCCCAAATGGCCACAATGGCCGGAGCTGCGCTGATCTGAAGCCAGGAGCCAGGAGCCAGGAGCTTCTTCCGGGTTTCCCACGCAGGTGCAGGGACCCAAGGACTTGGGCCATCTTCCACTGCTTTCCCAGGCCACAGCAGAGAGCTGGTTCAGAAGTGGAGCAGCCAGGACTTGAACCAGCGCCCATATGGGATGCCGGCACTGCAGGCTGGGGTTTTACCCACTGCGCCACAGCGCCGGCCCCAGATACAGTTATTATATTATTTTAGGGTGGGGAGGAGAGTGCTCCTGTCCCCAGGTTCACTCTGAATGCAGTGACTGGGGACGGGCTGGGGCCATGGGTGCGAACCAAGAACTCTACCGGTCTCCCACGTGGGTGGCAGGGACCCAAGGACTTGGGCCACCACTGCTGCCTCCCAGGGTGCGCACGCACAGGGAGCTGGGGTCAGGGGAATCCAGCCAGGTATTCCAAACCGTCTTCCCTTGCAGGCTACCCACCTGCCCCCAGTATTGCTGATTTTTAGATTGTTGTACTGAGATACAATCCCCATGCCTTAGCGTTCATCTATTTGAAGTATGCAATTTGGGGCTGGCATTTGGTGCGCCAGCTAAGATGCCACTTGGGGGGGGGAGTGGCTGGTGTTGTGGTGCAGCGAGTTAAGCCCGTGCCTGCAATGCCAGCACCTCATAGGAGCGCCAGTTCGAATCCTGGCTGCTCCACTTCCGATCCAGCTCCCGGCTAACGTGCCTGGAAAAGCAATGGAAAATGTCCACGTACTTGGGCCCCCGCCACCACGTAGGAGACCTGGATGGAGCGCCAGGTTCCTAGTTTCAGCCTGACCCAACCCTGGCCATAGTGGCCGTTTGGTATGTGACCCTGCAGATGGAAGATCTCTCTTCCTCTCTCTCTCTCTCTCCCTCTCCCTCTCTCCCTCTCCCTCTCTCTCTCCCTCTCTCTCTCTCTTCCTCTCTCTCTCTTCCTCTCTTTCTCTCTCCCTCTCTCTCTTCCTCTCTCTCTCTTCTTCTCTCTCTCTTTTCCTCTCTCTCTTCCTCTTTCTGTCTCCCTCTCTCTCTCTTCCTCTCTCATGCCCCTCACTATCAGTACAGCTCCCTCTGACACTCTGATAATAGCGAGAATCTATCACTACTCTCTATACACGTATCAATTATGCAGAACTGTCTTGC